TGACCCTCGTCTTCGAACCCATCCATACCAGTAAACACTACAAGGGCATGTTTGTTGAGATACATATCGAATACTCTCTGAAAGTTTTCAATTCTCTTGATGTCATCACCAGTTACCCTCTCTGATAAACTAAAGACAAAGATAACACAATGTGGACCAGGGGCAAGTAACTCCATTCCTCTATCAATTTCTTTCTGAGTTTCCTCTTCTGTCAGGCGAATATTACAATAACCTGGTGTATCAACTATAACTAGTTCTCCACCATCTTCTAGTGTACGGCTTTCTAACTGACTCTGTTGTGTTCCATAGTTTCTGCTCACTTTAAAAACTTTACTTCCGATCAGCTGATTCCCCACCGAGCTTTTTCCACTTCCGGTCTTGCCCAAAAGAAGAACTCGGATCTCTTTGGACGTCTCTTTTTCCATAGTTCCAATCAGGTATAAACTGAATAAGACAAAGGAAATACCATAAACAGAAAGTAGAATGCTGATAAAAACGACAAACAATTTGAGTATGGTATAGAAGTACTTGAATGATAATAATCATTGACTTTTGTAGTCGAATGTGTTTAAAGGAGCGTTCGACCAATCATACCTTAGTGTCAGAAACAGGAATTTTTTTAGCTTACATAATCAGTGTTCACAGCTCATCGTCGAAATTTGAGCCTTCAAATCCATGTGTATCCATAATTATTCACGTTTGAAAGATAAAAATTCGACAAGTGAGACTATGCCATATATAGAAAAATATATAGGCATTTACATTTCTAGTTATATATGAAGGGATTATGTGATTTTAGTACTACTTAAGAACTATTAAAGCACAATAAAGACCCAAATCAATCTCCGTAAACGCCGGAAATTTAATTGAACTAGGGCGAAGTGTAGGCGTATAAATGTAAATACGTTTAAGCTAATAATATCAGTTATTACTAATCCTGTAAGAACCCAACGTGGAAGGTACAAGGTCATCCTAATTGCATACATACATACACATACACATGGATTGTTCGAACACTAGTGATGCATATTCAATTATTCTGAGAAACGAAGTTGTTATCCTTGTAAAATGCTAATGTCGTATTGCATTGGAGAGCCGATTCAGTGAACGGAATGCAAATTATATATCCTATTGTAATGCAAGATGGATGTTTTGCAAGGGAAGTGGTTAGCCCATCATATTTCGAATTCAAACTGCTGAAGGAGTCACTTTTCTGTATCGTTGAACTACATTGGAGAAAATGCCCTTTTATCTGCCTAATTTTCCAGTAAATATAATAATATAGAGTAATGTATTAAACTTACCAGTCTTGATAATCGTGTTTACTATAATACTGTACACAGCCTTCAACAACTATACAACACACAGGTAGAGACAAGATAGGTGGACCAATACATATTCATAACACCGCCTTCTTATTATTATCCGTGCAGTCGTGCTGACTGTTAATGGCGATATAGAAACCAACAAATGTCATGTCAAATCGATTTCTTGATAAAGTACATCACTAATCCCATTTTGACAGTGACCGAGAAGTATTAACGTAATGTAGCGAAATGTCACTGTGCTCTGATGCACATTGATAACTAACACAAGTCAACAAGTGATTGAAATTTCCGATTTTCAGAGAATTCTCCTTTCTTGCTTAATCTTATTTTACTGAAAACGAAAGTCATTATCATCGTTCTACAAATATGGAGAAAGTCTACGAACATTCTAGAATGGCGGTGGGGTGTAATAATCTGTAAACAGATCAGGGTAGATCCAATAGGTATGTTTGGCTGTTTATGTAGGTTAATTGGTCTCAAATAGTTCTTATTCTGGGTTATGTAGTCGGTCAGTATGTCATCAATAGTTCTTATTCTGGGTTATGTAGTGTCGGTCAGTAGGTCATCAATAGTTCTTATTCTGGGTTATGTAGTGTCCGTCAGTAGGTCATCAATAGTTCTTATTCTGGGTTATGTAGTGTCCGTCAGTAGGTCATCAATAGTTCTTATTCTGGGTTATGTAGTCGGTCAGTAGGTCATCAATACATTCTTATTCTGGGTTATGTAGTCGGTCAGTATGTCATCAATACATTTTATTCTGGATTATGTAGTGTCGGTCAGTAGGTCATCAATAGATCTTATTCTGGGTTAAGTAATCGGTCAGTAGGTCATCAATAGGTTTTTTTCAGGGTTATGTAGTCATTCAGTAGGTCATCAATAGATCTTACTCTGGGTTATGTAGTCGGCCAGTAAGTCATCCAATATGTCCCTCAAATTTTCTATACCAGTCAAACAGAGATATCAAAGGAAACAAGAGCTATTTGGTTCAATACCTGGCCTTGCTGACAGTGATCAACGATCAACACCCCTATTTTATTTGACAGCAAGAAATTCAACTTTATTGTCCTTGTAAAACAGTTCTTTTGTTATGATGTTCACATTGATCCCGTTTGGCAATTATTAAATCATTCGGTTAGGTGATGTGTTTACAATATTAAGCTGGTATCGACATAATATAATGTGAAAATATATTAATTGTTTTGATACTTCTTACGAATGGAAAATTTGTTTCGCACAGTTTCGTACCGTTTCTACAAAATTCCATGAATACAGTACCTTACACTAAAAGTAACCGATATATAAGGCCCATACATATCACACTTCAATATCATACCCAAATCAGATTTGATGATCAGAACTGACAGCTGCCAGTGGGCGTATGTTACCTTGTCTTGCAAGCTATCTTTAAGCATTGTATATTTTAGACATCAGCATTGCCTTTTAAGGACTATGAGTGACTCACATTTCCAGGAACTGACCTTAAAACATCTCACTACATCGTGTATACACGCCAAATTGCTTACACTTCGATATTATACCTCGTATATCGGAAGTGATGATCAGAATTGTTTCAACTTTCATATAACCCATAGACATCGACAATGACTCTTAGGGACTATGAGTCACCTCAGTCACCCACATGTCCAACAACGGACCTTCAAACATGTGACTAAATCGTGTATAAAAGCCAAATTGCTTGCACTTCGGTATTATACCTCTACCGGTTAACTATTTCATCTTCTGGAAATATTACCCACAAACCTTAAAAGTTACTCTCAGAGACTATGAGTCACATCGGTGATCCACGTGTCCAATTGACCTTCAAACACGAGACTAAGTTGTGTACGTACGCCAAATTGCTCACACTTCAGTATTATACCTCAATCGGAAGTGATGATCAGAACTATTTCATCTTCTGGAAATATTACTCACAAATAATTATTCTCAAGGACTATGAGTCACCAAAGTGACTTACATGTCCAACAACGGGCCTGTAAACACGTCCCTTTCTCGTGTATATACGCAAAATTGCTCATACTTCAGTATTATACCTCTACCGGAACTGATTCATTTTCTGGAAATTTGACCCACTCAGATCGACAGTGTCTCCTAGGACTATGAGTCACCACATTGATCCACATGTTTCAATTTATAGCTGACTAAAATGGCACGATGATCAAGAACGATCAAAGAAAAAGGGTTTGCTTTACGCATGTTAAATTACGACTGTAGAATGACGTCAGTTGGAAAGTATCAAAATATTTCACTTTATTTCTAAAGTTCCTTTAAGGAAGTCGGATTTTCTTCTTTCTGTATTAAGCTTCAAACTAAAAGTATGGCTGTTGCACATCTAAATCTGTCAGTTATGGCTATTTTTGATGACTAATTTGTTGACTATTGGAAGGGAATTGGAAGTAAATATTGCGAATACAATATATTTCTGCAGGAGACACGAACTGAAAGTGTTTATATTGATGGAGTGTGTCGGAGGTGTCCGCGTTGTCGAAAGATAACTAATAATAAAAAGGGTAGTTTTTTTAAAGTTCACTCTTGCCCCTATGAAAGATACGTGGCCTGACATACATTTGGTCCAGGGGGTGTGGATATTCTAGGGGTATGTATGTTCTTGATACGATGAAAGAACTGAGCATGAGCTCTGAAAGTACTGTTATAGACTAGAACCAGTTTTGTCGTGACGTTTGTGTCCAGTACCGGTGGCTTAAATCCTCCACCGAAGGTCGAATGCCTCATCCATCCCGCCATGCCATTTGAGACTTTGAGTTTTTCTGATGCAGACTGCAATAAAAAGTTGGAATGTTATATTACGTATGACGAAACGAACCAATAAATAAATCTTATTCTTTTTCAACATGCAAATGTTTAGCAATCCCAGTGTGGCGAGTTTGAACGTGAATTAAAGTAATGTGTTTTTTTTTTTTTTTTTTACGAGGAGAGATAATGTCGGTGGCTGCATTTTCACATGGATAATTAGTTCATTGAGTTTGGTTTCAATGTTTATATTTATATTTTCAATGGGTTTTCATTTGACTTTCTAGAGGATTTTTTATGTAAAATTTTCCCTCCTCCCTTATCTTTGATCTTTCAACTGTCCTACCTTTCTGTAAATCTTCAGTAAACATTCCATTTCTCTATATAGTCTACTTATTATTCCAGTCACCCAACTTCAAGTGTATCTTACCAAGAGGGTATTAACTAAAGAAGGAAAGAACCCCCATTAGCAATATGTATAAAACCAGCATATTATCATTATTATTTTAGTTGACTTGTAAAATATTGTTTTATATTTTCTATATAATTTAATGGCAATGTTAGTGTTAAGATATTATATTGTTATTCTTGTATATAAATCCTGTATTTAGTGCTACATTTAAATTCATTGATAAATCATAATTTTTAGGGCAGCAGACATCAACAATATCTATTAAAGTGATCGAGTTTTCTAATAATTGACGTGGAACACATGATATGATAGAACAAAATTTAAGGATAGATTAGAAACTATAATGCCAGGATAGATGTTAATAGTAAATCTAAACATAATAGTAACACTTTCCAAATTGCTATCATGACAGTCAAGATAAGGCCAGAACAGTTTTTTTTTCTTGTTTGATGGATCCTCCTACCTAAATTTTCCAGAAACCAGAAAAAAAATCAGCTTTGACATAGTTCCAGTGATAATTTACACTGATATAGCTCCAGTGATATTTTACACTGATATAGCTCCAGTGATAATTTACACTGATATAGCTCCAGTGATAATTTACACTGACATAGCTCCAGTGATATTTTACACTGACAAAGCTCCAGTGATATTTTACACTGACATAGCTCCAGCGATAATTTACACTGACATAGCTCCAGCGATATTTTACACTGACAAAGCTCCAGCGATATTTTACACTGACAAAGCTCCAGTGATATTTTACACTGACATAGCTCCAGTGATATTTTACGCTGACATAGCTCCAGTGATATTTTACACTGACATAGCTCCGGTGATATTTTACACTGACATAGCTCCAGCGATATTTTACACTGACATAGCTCCAGTGATATTTTACATTGACATAGCTCCAGTGATTTTTACACTGACATAGCTCCAGTGATATTTTACATTGACATAGCTCCAGTGATATTTTACACTGACATAGCTCCAGTGATATTTTACACTGACAAAATCGTCACGACGATCGCAAAAGAAGTAGGAATAGGTTCTACTTTTACGCGACAAAATTTTTCGCGCAATTATCTTATCCAATCAGATGCGAGAATTTTGGCTAACAGCGTCAACGTCATATCGTCATGACGTCAAAGATGGCAGAAAGCGGCATAGTCGACTTATCAGTCCAAACAAACTCTAGGCCCACGAATTTCTTTGGATCCAGAGGAAATAAAACAAAATCTGGAAAATAATTAGAACTAGTTAATATAAACGCTAGCTTAATAGCAGGGCTTTGTTGAATGCCGCCATTTTGTCGCTGATGGGCAAGGATGTTAAAATAGCGATAACGTCGATTTTCGATGACAGTGGAAATCAAACTTCGTCGAGCGCTTTTATTTTGCGATGAAAAATTTCGCTTCGCGCCAAAAAAATCGTCCCGTGGAAAACCGCCTTAACATTGACGTTTAATCGTATGTTATTTATTTTATGTACTTGTCGTTAAAAATCATTCTTGGGAAAGAACAAACTCGGTATTTCCATTTCTTTTCAGAGTTAGTTGACTTAACCTTGAGGTTTAATCTATAAGCAAATATATTTTTACAAAATCAAACATATGACTCAAGAAGTACATTAATAATTGTCACTAAATCATTTGATAAGATAACAGAGTTAAGAAAATTGAATCATAGGACACATCAAAATCAAACATGTGGGCGTATAAGAATTTGAATGAACTTTTATTTTCATATCTAATTTATCTCTGAGATTCAACGATTCAAAGTACAGATGATATTTTAATAAATCATTCACTTTTCACAAAATCATTCTCCGAGATTAACTTTCTCGGTATTTACATTATTATTCTTAGTTAGTTGATAGGCTACTAAACCTTGACGTTTAATATTGCTATTTGTATTATAAAATTCTCGGGGAATGGCTTTCACGGTATTTCCATTATCCGATATATCTATTTACAAAAGCAAAAATATGACTCACACTGCATTTTCACAAAGATAGAAGCCAAAATGAATGATTGTCACTAATTTACGGAGCCCCTAAGGCGCAATTGTAAACATATTTATTTATTATTTCGTTTATACGAAATAAATTATTATAATAATAATAAAAAGTGTTGAAAATTGCGCTTAAGGGGCTCCGTACTAATTCATTTTATAAGATAACAGAGTTAAAAAATTGAATCATAGGACACATCAAAATTGTGGTTTGTGTGGTCAAAGGAGAAAGGAAGAGGGTTGTAGTCACTGTCAAACATGAATGACAGGTTAATTATTGTTAATCACTATATTTTCAAATTGTCTAAAAGACACCTTGGGTTCCACTTTAAGGGCACTTGTTTCCCACATTGAAAACAGGGCATTAAAATAACCTTTTGAAAAATGATTTCTTTTGTTTCGGCGTACTCTTCACATCTGATTGTGTCATGCCTAAACTTGATTGTACAGCATTAACATAGCCATGAACATCCAGTTTCGCAGAGTCTTTACGACGTCTTTCTTCTTCCTCAATAGCAGTCCAATCTACATGGTCTACATCAAATACAGCAGGGATATTATTATATTTCTCACTGCAGATTTTTGTCCGAATCTCCTCCACCACTTCTTGTTTTCTATCTTTGCAATCGAGTATAAAATAAGGAAGCTGTGGTAGACATCTTGGAAACTGAAATTCCTCATCTTCTAAGGAATCTTTTCCAGTGAAAACTATAATCATATGATTAATAACATTTTCTCCAAACAGTTTCTTTATAAACTCTAATGACTCCTTTTCATCACCTGAAAATCTTTCGTCAGCACTCAGAACCAAAATATAGACATTTGTCAACAATCTATTTACTTTTATAGTGTTCATAATTTCTTTAGCGACGTCCACATCTGACCGGAGCGTTGAGAAAAATCCAGGAGTATCCATTACTACCATGTGGTCTGTTAGCTCGATATGGCATTCCTTGGTTCTTCTCTCTTCCATTATATTTGTCTTGAACTTCTTGGCTCCCAGCAAATAATTACCAAGAGAACTTTTACCAATTCCACTCTTACCAAGTAAAATAATATGTCTTGTGTCATTTATTGTTGGCTTGGCTGCAGCGTCTGTCTCCATTATTTCTGGAATAAAAATATCATACTGAAATAAAATTACTGGTAAGCATAGATATAGATATATATACCCAATTTTACTTAGACAATATTTAGTCAAAATGAATTTAAGATAGAAACAGAAATACAAACAGGAAATAATTTTAAAATACAATATAAAAGATCTTAAATGTTCCGAAATGACCCATTATAATTTTGGTTCCCAGCTTATCGGATTTTCCGTACCCCTTAATCTGCTTCAAGTTATCCAGGTGAGTGCCGTGAAAAATCAAAACGTTGATCTAAAATCTATAGCTTAAGGATACATAGACGGACATCAAATTAACAAAAACAAACGTGCATCAAGTGACACATCACAATTGTGGTTAAATGGTCCAAGAGGGTGGTGGGGGAGGGGGGTTAAGAGCGCTACCGGAAGTTGAATGATATGCTGACTATTGCATTACACTACTTTAACAATTGTCTCAAGATACTTCTTTGGTACCTAATTTGTACACCTAAAGGGAACTAGTAGTCCATTATGAGAACACAACATTACTATAAACACTACCTATTAAACTTGATTTCTTTTGTTTCGGTGAGTTCTTCACATCTGATTGTGTCATGCCTAAACTTGACTGTACAGCATTCACATAGCCATGAACATCCAGTTTCGCAGAGTCTTTACGACGTCTTTCTTCTTTTTCAATAGCAGTCCAATCTACATGGTCTACACCAAATACAGCAGGGATATTTTTCACTGCAGATATCTTTCCGATTTATTTATTTAATTAATCATTAATTTCTATATTTTTGTTCCAAAAATCACTCCTTCTCTACTTTGAAAGAAATATTCCTTCTCCAGTGTATATATATATTATAAACTATTCCATTACCCTTATGTTTGATATTCATTTCTCCAGTGTCAATCTGATCTATTAGATTACTTAATCCCTCTTTAACAGTTTACTTGGTTTCTTGACTAAATCGATTTCCAAATTCTTTTACTGTGCCTAATATATCTGCTACTCCTGAACCTCGTGCTCCTTTTCCATTGCTAAATTATGTTTACGTTCTTCAGCGGTTTTAGCATCAGCTGCTTTCTTTGCGTTGGCAGCTTTGACTGCGGCAGATATATCTCGATAGTTGCTGCATCAGCCGCGGTTATACCAGCAAATATTAAAGGTAGGAGAGGTAAAAAGCCACCTTCCTTTGCGTTAGTATTAATTCTTTCTAAATCTATTCATCTCTGACTTTACAATATTTATATTCATCTATTAATTTTTTAGTTATGTTGATTTCTTTACCATTGAAAGTTAATACAGTTGGGGAAGCTGTTTCTATAGCTTCTATTATTTTCTTGACTAAAGTTTCTGGCTTCATTTTTAAAGGTGTATTTCTTACTCAATTCTTATCATTCTTCTATCTGATATTTTAATTAAATGTTTTGCTTCTTCCATTAATAAACAGTACCCGGTTACATCTCCTTGTGTTTTTTCAATATGAATATTTATGTTGACTCCTGTGTTGAAAAGATCTTCTTGGTGAGCTGATAGATCAAAACAGAAGATTGGATGATTAAGTGCAAAATCTACATATTCCAACTGAGGTGGATTTCCAAATAATTCACACATATTTTTATAGTTTCTATACAATTCATTATAATCCTTTGTGGTTGGAGTAATTGTTAAAGGTTGGGTAGGATAATTTTCGTTGTTTAATCTTACATGAACTTTATGGATTATAGGATCTTGATTTTGGTTCATTGCCACTCTGAAGACATTATTGTTATTCGTCTGAGAGTCTGGCAAGTTCTTGATTCTAACCAGTAAATATCTTGCTGTTTTAATAGTGTTGGTGATTGACCGTGTTGTGGATTCTCCACTTAAAGTCATGCTACCTACCGTGTTACGACGGAGAAAAGCTATTTCAATATCTTTAGTCAACATGTTGAATATGTTCGTTTCTATTGCGATTGAAGTAGTTATTACTGATATATAAAGTTGGAGATTTGTTATTGCTAATTTTGCATTTGAAGCATTCTCTCCGAAGAATATCTTATCATCATTGATTTCTCTTTGTAGACGAATTTTATATGGAAACCTTTCTTTGTTTCAACAGAGCGAATAATGGATATAAATTCCAATTTATGTAATTATCCCAACTATTATTATCAATGGAATTGATGTATTGAAGTACTCCTTTTTTGAGTCCGTCTTTGATTTGAAATCACATCTGAAATAGGCATCAGAAAGAAGTAACCAATTTGATAATGAATTTATTTCAAAGGTAATTCTACCACCATCATTCAACTGAGCTTTAGAACCGTCAGTTGGTGATATGATAATATAATCCTTTTTTTTCTTGTTAAATGAGTAACGAATCGGATCGTATAATTTATAGATTAGATCTAGTATGTAATTTTTATCTCCCATTTTAAGGTTTAAAATTTGAATATAAATTTATCGTTTTCATCTAACCAAGTGCCTGGAAGATGTTTTTCTCCAGGATATTTTGCCCATGGAAGACCAGGAAGATTGGCTAGTGAAGATTGTATATCTGAACCAAAATAAGTTTTTGGAGTGCTGTGTGCGACTATCATTTTTATCCTATAATTCTAGAACCTGTATTTTCTTCTAATCTCCTGTTTCGTAGTTCTTATATTAGTTGTAATACTCGTTAGATGTTTTCACTGCGTCGGTTATACTAACTCCTATTTTTGATAGAACCGATAGCCTGGACTTCGGATGAAATAAGTGATTTGTTTTTTGAAACAAAGCTAGCTACTTTTGGAATTAGAGAAGTTAGTGCTGAGATGTATAATCGGTTCTATATCTTTCCCCTTCGTGTTTTAGTATTAGAGTCATCCTATTTTTAAAGGAGTTAATTTGATGATAAAAAATGTAGGATATATAGGTCTTTTTGGGGGTGTGAATTGATGGAATGAAGGGTATGTGTGACAGTATGGTGAATTTGGCAAAATGCGGTATATGTGACAGTATGGTCAATTTGGCAAAAACAAATTTTTGGTAAGTAAGGATATGGTAAAACGGAGTATAGCACTATACACACACTATTGACGTCATACTGATATAAGCAGCTCTTCTGAATTGACCCGATCTGTTAAATTAACTTACGAGAAGCTGGACAACTCTTTCCTTAATAATTCCACTATCAGGAAAAGGTAAATATATCAACGTCTAAATTATTATTTCTCTGTAATTTAAGGTGAGTGATTCAGACGCCCAGGGAAAAACTGCGATAGACGAGAAAACATGTAAGTTCTTCAAATTAGCAATATACAGAAACAGCAATTTTGAGGCCTCGTGGACTTTTTCGGCAATCTTAAAGATTCCCTTATTTTCACTTATGGAAATGCAAATGCTTATACTTATTTGTATAGAAAGTAGAGGTGTTCTACTGACTAGTTTGTCTTGGAAAAAAAGCAGTTTGTCTCACATGTCCATAATTAATTCACATTAGCTAATGTTTATCCAGACTGTACATACATGGCCATTTATGATATTCATGGACATGAATAATTTTTTAGTAACACCAATTAATCAAATAGTTTGCTTAATTTGACACTAAAAAATAAGGAAACCCATCTTTAGATAAATACATCAATAAAGAATCGCCATACAATGGCAGAATACGTTTTAGAAGTATGTAAATACAACACAGGTTCTGTATTTCTCTCTTTGTAGGAAAGGTGAAACAGGCTGGATTTCTGGTGGAGAATCGAAGACGTCTAAAAAAGTTATCTACGTTATAGTTGTATAGTTTTTCTAGTTTATCTAGATAGAGATGTAGATAAGAAAGATCCATTTTCCCTTTAACAATGCCTTATGATGTCTTTCATGTTTCAGATAATATACCACAGAATAATAAAAGAACAGTTTTGTTACTGGGTAAAAGTGGAATTGGTAAAAGTTCAGTAGGTAATGATCTATTGGGTGAGAAGACCAACTTCTAGTGGTAGATACCCCTGGTTTCTTCAGCTCAATTCGTTCTGATGTAGAAACTGCTAACGATATCTTCAGTACAATAAAGAGATTAACTTCGATTCATGTTTGTATTCTGGTGCTGAGTGTTGACAACAGAATTTCAGGATCTGAAGACAAGGCTTGGGATTTTGTTACATGTTTATTTGGCGGAGAAATATCGGATCAACTGATGTATGTTTTTACTGGTACAGATTCGCTTTAAGGATGATGACCGTCAATTCATATTTCCACAGAATCTACCCAGTCTACCCAGTCGACCACCATATCACATTCTGAATTGTAAAGGCTACAGTGGGATATACCGTAATGAATCCTTGTGGGTTTTTTCATATTATGTTAAAGCTGTTATAGTAAGACATAGCAAATAACAACAAATCCAAAATCCCCCAGATAGATATTTTGACAGTTATCGACTGCAGTATAGGGTCAGAATTCAAAATTCGTGAATTATCAACTTGGTGAAAACTATTTTAAACTTGGTGAAAATTAAAGTCTTCATTTCAAAATTAATAATCACCTTACTGAGCCACAGTAGTCCTGTTTTATGGGATTTTTATTCGCGTTCGAAGATGCGTTTTATTATCAAACGTGCTTTACGATGACTATAAATAAGTGCTGGGCATCACCGTAACTTTCGATTTGATAGTATCACGTGACACAATGGCCCTTGAAACCCCCACACCGATGAAGGTACGCAAACTTCTCTCAAAACAGTTCCTAGTTGTTCTGTCTGTACACCAGCTGACAATTTTCAAAATAGTTGTTTCGGTCGAGTACATCAGGTGGGCAATTTCGATAAAACAGGGTAATTTCTTTAAACCAAGTTCAACTAAAATACCCAACCCCACTCGATTTCATTATAATATTTTCTACGAAGGTGGAGGTAAGATGTATCAAGGATCAAAACCAGCTTAAGAATCTTAACTCATCCCTTATCCTAATGATTTAATAATTGTCAAAATTTGTGTAGAAGAGAACACTCTCAGACCCCTCATGGAATCTCAACCCCGACAGTTTTCCCCCCAGATTCAGGAAGCCATCTCCGCAAATGCTGGAATCACCTGCCTATGGTGTCCAAAGTTTATCGTTGACTTAATCTTTCGCGTTTATAGCTAACACGCTGGACGTAAGTTGCTTTTGCTCTCCGGCTTATATTAGACTGATGTAGGTGTAATTTACGAACAACTTTCGCAGCTATCGTATATTATTGGCATATAGGCAGTTTGTATACTATATATCTATTACCTTGCAGGAGGGATTGTCCATTAAAACAGTTTTAGTCAAGGGCATTTACCATGTACATCAGTGCTAGTAACATAGTTTTTATGGGGGAATATCCTTTTTACATTCAATACAAGTTTATATAATTTTTCTATATCGTATATAAACTTTTTCTATAGTGAATATATTCAACAAGTATGTACATGAATCACACGACATTACCATACCTTTTGAATATTTTTATATCAATGAATTATCGCTAAGGACAAGAAAAACGCGGTATGTTCGTATCTACTAAAACACGAACCAACTTGAACCGACTTGAACCGACCAGAAACGACTAGGAAACGACCAACGCAAACGTGAACCAACCAGGAACCGAACAGGAAAACGACAATAAACGACCTCAAACTATTTTGCGATGAATTCTAAGCATGTTAATCAGGCCGAACATGTACTTCATCTTAGCAAAATATTAAGAACATATTACATACATATTAAGAACTTTCCAACTTTTTATTGCAGCCAGCGTCAAAAAATGTGTTATCCAATGCGCGAATATCAAAATGACTTGTCAGAGTGGCAGAGCAGTCGGGGAAACCAAGGTACCGGACAGGAAACTACCTCAAACTATTGAAAATAGTTGAAGCGAATAATGTCCACACCGTGTCCCGACACGTACCTCGTGTATTCACTTCTTTTATTTTCTATAGTACGATAATCCTGCATGGTACACCACACCGTACACCTATTTGCAGCTTAATTAGCCAATATCATTATTTTGGCCACGCCAAATATTCACCAGAAAGAATTGTTACGTTCTGAAAAGTATCATGTATAGCAAATGAAACGTAACAAAAAATAAGTTGAATAATCAGTTTATTAACAATAATTATTTATTTAAAGTGATAAAGAAAAACAAATAATACAAACATTCTAACTGACAATGAAAAACAATGTGTACACAACCTTGACACAACTACATAACGAAATAATACAAAAATACTTTCAGCAAAGTTCTATCTAACTCAATGAGTTCAATACTATTCTGCAAAATAATAGTTGCTTCTTAATCTATTTGGTATGTTCTAGACGAGACCAGCATGATCTATGTTACTTAAATAGTTATAACTGTATTTAAAAGTATTATATAACTATAGGTGTATACAGTTATAGAAAACACTAATAATAACTAAGTGCATACTCATGCATAACAGATTTGTTACATAACCGGACGTCGGATTTATGGATAGATGAAATTGAACTCTTTCAGATGGTCAAGCAAATATTTCAACGACTGTAAGGGCTTCAGGATTCTCAGTGTAAATTTTGAAAGGGGCATTAGGTCGCTGACTCGCTTATTTATTTGAAATAGTTGCTAACTCGTTAATTTGTTTTAAATACAGTTTAAATGCATCACTTATACCACTAAAAGTTATAGCGCTAATGTCACCCCACATTCCTTCAAATTCTGAGTCATCATCCACAGTTTCTATTTCATTCCTCAATTCTTCTCGAATCTCATCCTCAGTTTTAGTCTTGTTGGTCTCTTGCAATGTTTGTATTTCGTCTTCTATTCTCTCTTCCACCAGATTCCATAAATCTCCACTATAAAACTCCCTTCCATTCTCTTCAATAGTTTTAATTATTAATTCTATAACAGATTCTACATCTTTTTCATGAGACATTTTACATGATTTGTTACAGATACCAACATATCGCTGATAACATTGCTCCAAAAATTCTTTAAGATAGTCTGGACTCTTATCTACAAATTCTTCTACGGTTACTTCATCATCATCTAAATCATCTTTATTTGTAAAAACTACAATAACATACTTATGGACATTTTCACCAAATAAATTCCTCAGTAATTCTAAAGTATCAACCTCTTCCTTGGTAAATCTACCAATACGTAAGACAAACAAGAATGCATGTGGTCCAGGAGCAGTCAACGCTAAACATTTAGAAATTTCTTTAACCGTTTCTTTGTTGGGTATCTTGCTGTCAAATAGACCAGGGGTGTCGATGACATTCAACAAGGCCTCGTGATTAACCAAATACCTCTGTTTTCGCTGACATCTCTGTGTGACGGGCATAGCAGAGTTCTGAGATGAAAAAGCCCTTTCATTTAGTTTCGTCTGACCCAGGATACTGTTTCCTGAAGCACTTTTACCCACTCCAGTCTTTCCAACTAGAACAACTCTATATTCTGAAATACAAAAACATCTTGTTTAGGCATTATTGAAATTTGTGCTGGGTATCGCCAATCATGCCACGAGACGATATGTATTACGATACAAGGGTCACGATACGATACGTATCGCGATATGGGGTAAAATTTAAAGGGATTGTAGAGGCTTCCTAGCCTTTGTATGTGTATCACGTTTGATCTCTTTTTGGGACATTCCGAATATTCGTCCGATGCCTGTGGTTCCTGCAACTCAATGAAGAGAAAATCGGAAATGACGCAGTTCCCGTAGGAGAATTCGTATCTATTTTAACACCAGACCACCATACCATAATAATATATATCTCCCCTTACAAGAATGGCGTCATTTTTAACTAAAAATTGCGGATTATTCACATTTTGCTTCACCGTTACCTTATCAAACTCTTAACTACGTCTTATATTGCTTAGTTTTAACGGAATGGAAGAGTTGTATGATATTTGTTCAGATCTGAAAATATCATTATTTATGATAAAATGTACGGTTTCGAATACAGTGAAGCGAACATTTGGTAAAGCAAGTTAGTCCAGTATTACTACTGCTACTGGACTACCAAATGGTCGCTCGACATCTTGAGATATAAAGTACTACAAAAGTGAAGCATAATGTAAATGCCGCCATCTTGTAAGGGGAGATAACGTTATATTATGGACTAATGGTAGGTTGGTTACGAATGCGTCATTTCCGTTTAACTCTTTCTGGAATTGCAGGAACCACGGGAATCGGAAGGAGAATTGGAATCACACAAATAGATGTCAAAGGTGTGACCGTTGCTCATGAAAAGGCTAGAAAACCTGTTTACAATCACTTTAACACTTTGTCTTCAGAGTTTCAATATTTACTGATTTATAACTTTATAACTGAAATAGCATATCATTGAGAAATAGTTTATCTTGGTGGATGCATATCATTGAGAAATAGTTTATCTTGTTGGATTCATATCATTGAGAAATAGTTTATCTTGGTGGATTCATATCATTGAGAAATAGTCTATCTTGTTGGATGCAAGGCATTAAGAAATAGTCTATCTTGGTGGATTCATATCATTGAGAAATAGTTTATCTTGGTGGATTCATATCATTGAGAAATAGTCTATCTTGTTGGATGCAAGGCATTAAGAAATAGTCTATCTTGTTGGATGCATATCATTGAGAAATAGTTTATCTTGTTGGATGCAATGCATTGAGAAATAGTTTATCTTGGTGGATGCATATCATTGAGAAATAGTTTATCTTGTTGGATTCATATCATTGAGAAATAGTCTATCTTGGTGGATTCATATCATTGAGAAATAGTCTATCTTGTTGGATGCAAGGCATTAAGAAATAGTCTATCTTGGTGGATTCATATCATTGAGAAATAGTTTATCTTGGTTGATGCATATCATTGAGAAATAGTTTATCTTGTTGGATGCAAGGCATTGAGAAATAGTTTATCTTGGTGGATGCATATCATTGAGAAATAGTTTATCTTGGCGGATGCAAGGCATTGAGAAATAGTCTATCTTGGTGGATGCATATCATTGAGAAATAGTTTATCTAGGCGGATGCAAGGTATTGAAAAAAAGATTATCACGGTGGGTGCATATCATTGAGAAATAGTCTATCTTGGTGGATGCAAGGCATTGAGAAATAGTTTATCTTGGCGGATGCATATCATTGAGAAATAGTTTATCTTGTTGGATGCAAGGCATTAAGAAATAGTTTATCTTGGTGGATTCATATCATTGAGAAATAGTTTATCTTGTTGGATGCAAGGCATTAAGAAATAGTCTATCTTGTTGGATGCATATCATTGAGAAATAGTCTATCTTGTTGGATTCATATCATTGAGAAATAGTCTATCTTGTTGGATGCAAGGCATTAAGAAATAGTCTATCTTGGTGGATTCATATCATTGGGAAATAGTTTATCTTGTTGGATTCATATCATTGAGAAATAGTTTATCTTGTTGGATGCAATGCATTGAGAAATAGTCTATCTTGGTGGATGCTTATCATTGAGAAATAGTTCATCATGTTGGATGCAAGGCATTGAGAAATAGTTTATTTTGGTGGATGCATATCATTGAGAAATAGTTTATCTTGGCGGATGCAGGCATTGAGAAATAGTCTATCTTGGTGGATGCATATCATTGAGAAATAGTTTATCTTGGCGGATGCAAGGTATTGAAAAATAGTTTATCTTGGTGGATGCAAGGTATTGAAAAATAGTTTATCACGGTGGGTGCATATCATTGAGAAATAGTCTATCTTGTTGGATGCATATCATTGAGAAATAGTTTATCTTGGCGGATGCATATCATTGAGAAATAGTCTATCTTGTTGGATGCATATCATTGAGAAATAGTTTATCTTGTTGGATGCAATGCATTGAGAAATAGTTTATCTTGTTGGATGCAATGCATTGAGAAATAGTTTATCTTGTTGCATGCAGTGCATTGAGAAATAGTCTATCTTGTTGGATGCAATGCATTGAGAAATAGTCTATCTTGTTGGATGCAATGCATTGAGAAATAGTCTATCTTGTTGGATGCAATGCATTGAGAAATAGTTTATCATGGTGGGTGCATATCATTGAGAAATAGTCTATCTTGTTGGATGCATATCATTGAGAAATAGTTTATCTTGTTGGATGCAATGCATTGAGAAATAGTTTATCATGGTGGGTGCATATCATTGAGAAATAGGTTATCTTGTTGGATGCAATGCATTGAGAAATAGTTTATCTTGGCGGATGCATATCATTGAGAAATAGTCTATCTTGTTGGATGCATATCATTGAGAAATAGTTTATCTTGGCGGATGCATATCATTGAGAAATAGTCTATCTTGTTGGATGCATATCATTGAGAAATAGTTTATCTTGTTGGATGCAATGCATTGAGAAATAGTCTATCTTGTTGGATGCATATCATTGAGAAATAGTTTATCTTGTTGGATGCATATCATTGAGAAATAGTTTATCTTGTTGGATGCAATTCATTGAGAAATAGTTAATCATGGTGGGTGCATATCATTGAGAAATAGTTTATCTTGTTGGATGCAATGCATTGAGAAATAGTTTATCTTGTTGCATGCAGTGCATTGAGAAATAGTCTATCTTGTTGGATGCAATGCATTGAGAAATAGTCTATCTTGTTGGATGCAATGCATTGAGAAAAAGTCTATCTTGTTGGATGCATATCATTGAGAAATAGTTTATCTTGTTGGATGCATATCATTGAGAAATAGTTTATCTTGTTGGATGCATATCACCGAGAAATAGTTTATCTTGTTGGATGCAATGCATTGAGAAATAGTTAATCATGGTGGGTGCAATGCATTGAGAAATAGTCTATCTTGGTGGATGCATATCATTGAAAAATAGTTTATCTTGTTGGATGCAATGCATTGAGAAATAGTTTATCTTGTTGGATGCATATCATTGAGAAATAGTCTATCTTGTTGGATGCATATCATTGAGAAATAGTTTATCTTGTTGGATGCAATGCATTGAGAAATAGTCTATCTTGTTGGATGTATATCATAGAGAAATAGTCTATCTTGTTGGATGCATATCATTGAGAAATAGTTTATCTTGTTGGATGCAAGGTATTGAGAAATAGTTTATCTTGTTGAATGCAAGGTATTGAGAAATAGTTTATCTTGTTGGATGCAATGCATTGAGAAATAGTCTATCTTGTTGGATGCATATCATTGAGAAATAGTTTATCTTGTTGGATGCATATCATTGAGAAATAGTCTATCTTGGTGGATGCAAGGCATTGGGAAATAGTTTATCTTGTTGGATGCAAGGCATTGGGAAATAGGTTATCTTGTTGGATGCAATGCATTGAGAAATAGTTTATCACGGTGGGTGCATATCATTGAGAAATAGTCTATCTTGGTGGATGCAAGGCATTGAGAAATAGTTTATCTTGGCGGATGCATATCATTGAGAAATAGTCTATCTTGTTGGATGCATATCATTGAGAAATAGTTTATCTTGGCGGATGCATATCATTGAGAAATAGTCTATATTGTTGGATGCATATCATTGAGAAATAGTTTATCTTGGTGGGTGCAATGCATTGAGAAATAGTCTATCTTGGTGGATGCATATCATTGAAAAATAGTTTATCTTGTTGGATGCAATGCATTGAAAAATAGTTTATCTTGTTGGATGCATATCATTGAGAAATAGTCTATCTTGTTGGATGCATATCATTGAGAAATAGTTTATCTTGTTGGATGCAAGGTATTGAGAAATAGTTTATCTTGGCGGATGCATATCATTGAGAAATAGTGTATCTTGTTGGATGCATATCATTGAGAAATAGTCTATCTTGGTGGCTGCAAGGCATTGGGAAATAGTTTATCTTGTTGGATGCAATGCATAGAGAAATAGTTTATCTTGTTGAATGCAAGGTATTGAGAAATAGTCTATCTTGGTGGATGCAAGGCATTGAGAAATAGTCTATCTTGTTGGATGCATATCATTGGGAATAAGTTTATCTTGGTGGATGCATATCATTGAGAAATAGTTTATCTTGTTGGATGCATATCATTGGGAATAAGTTTATCTTGGTGGATGCATATCATTGAGAAATAGTTTATCTTGTTGGATGCATATCATTGAGAAACAGTCTATCTTGGCGGATGCATATCATTAAGAAATAGTTTATCTTGTTGGATGCATATCATCGAGAAATAGTTTATCTTGGCGGATGCATATCTTCGAGAAATAGTTTATTTTGTTGGATGCATATCATTGAGAAATAGTTTATCTTGGCGGATGCATATCATTGACAAATAGTTTATCTTGGCGGATGCATATCATTGAGAAATAGTTTATCTTGGCGGATGCATATCATTGAGAAATAGTGTATCTTGTTGGATGCATATCATTGAGAAATAGTTTATCTTGTTGGATGCATATCATTGAGAAATAATTTATTTTGTTGGGTGCATATCATTGAGAAATAGTTTATTTTGTTGGATGCAAGGCATTAAGAAATTGTTTATCTTGGTGGATGCAAGGCATTGAGAAATAGTCTATCTTGGTGGATGCAAGGCATTGAGAAATAGTCTGTCTTGTTGGATGCATATCATTGAGAAATAGTTTATCTTGGTGGATTCATATCATTGAGAAATAGTCTATCTTGTTGGATGCAAGGCATTGAGAAATAGTTTATCTTGGTGGATTCATATCATTGAGAAATAGTCTATCTTGTTGGATGCATATCATTGAGAAATAGTCTATCTTGTTGGATGCATATCATTGAGAAATAATCTATCTTGGTGGATTCATATCATTGAGAAATAATCTATCTTGTTGGATGCATATCATTGAGAAATAGTCTATCTTGTTGAATGCATATCATTGAGAAATAGTCTATCTTGTTGGATGCATATCATTGAGAAATAGTCTATCTTGTTGGATGCATATCATTGAGAAATAGTCTATCTTGGTGGATGCATATCATTGAGAAATAGTATATTTTGTTGGATGCAAGGCATTGAGAAATGGTCTATCTTGTTGGATGCAAAAAATAGTGACTGACAAAATAAGATACGTAGCGTGATATATTGCTAAAAGTCATTGAAACAACATAAGAATATGGCCCACTTTGTGTTCCATAGAAATTTTCTGTTGACACACAATCCGCTAGTTGATCACGTGACTTCATTCGTTGGACTACATTCTAGCAGACGACACTTGGAATTCCGATTACCGCTTGGTATTATAAGGAAATTCAGGCCGATAAAAAATGGTGACGTTTGGTAATAACTGAAATCCGCCATTTTGTATTTGTCAAAGTATACATTAATACATTTTACCTTGCTTGAAACTACTAAATATATTCGACTAGCTGATATTGTACAGAAAACCCATGTTTATCAAAACAAGCAAATGCGGAGGTCACGCGAGGTCAAACATGTAAATTATTAATCATTTTCGGAGATGCACGAAAAATAGGTTAGCACGAAATTAGGTTACTTGACTGTGTACCTATATTTTCACAAATCTATACATTTAATATGCAAATATCGGGTACCTATATTTTCACAAGCATACCATGACAGTAGCCATGTGTAACAGTAGATACAAGGGGGTACCATTTTCTTATGTGTAAGGCTTAGTAGTGAGGACAGTTAAGTGGTTGAAGGGAGGTAACTCTGTTTAGTAAAAGTTACAAGTGCCTGTGTTTCAAAAGGTGACTAATGCCTGTGTGCAAGGGCAAGTCACTCTTATGACAGGAAGTTCTCTTCCATGCGCTCCTCAATGTTGATAAAGCCTATGAAATACCTAAGTTTTGTTTCTCTCCTCCCACAGGTATTATTTTGCTATAAAAGGCCAATTATGTTGCTGTCAATCTATAAGACATAGGTTTACTACACTATGTCAGTGTTTTAGGCAATTAATTCTACCTCACCCGTCACTCCATCAGTGAGTTCGTCATTCCGTCAATGAGTTCGCCACTCACGTCAGTGATTCCGTCATAACGTCAATCGTCAATGCTACCGAACAAAAAATATAATATGAATGAATTATAATCACAAAACGAAATCAAAACGAAATTTTTAGAAAGACGTACGTCGATGCTACCCCACAAAATGATGAATACTGGCGTTTCTTAAAATAAAACGAAAGAATATGCCAGTCCGTCAGTGGCGAACTTATTGACGTAATGATGTATGAAGTAGTCCAGGGCTGATACACAGCTAATTCATCCATCACTGCGTTATTGGCTCAATCCGTCATTGACGCCATTCCGCCAATCATCCCAGTGACGGATTGACGTAGTTACGTATAACATAATCCAGGGCTTATACACACCTTATTCATCCGTCAATGATTCCGTCACTCCGTCATTGGCGTCAGTCCATCAATCAACCAAGTGACGGAGTGGCGAACTCATTGTCGGAGTGGCGAACTCATTGACGGAGTGGCAAACTCATTGACGGAGTGGCAAACTCCTTGACGGAGTGGCGAACTCATTGACGGAGTGACGAACTCATTGACGGAGTGATGAACTCACTGACGGAGTGACGTATGAGGTAGCCCTAGACAGGGAAAACATTTCATCCGTCATTCGTCGATGCTACCTTACAAAATTACAGGGCTGTATGTGAAGGCGCTTCTTCATGCGTCGCTCCGGCATTGGTGTCAATGGATCCATCATTCCCGTCAGTCCGTCATTGGCTTTATCCGTCATCGACGAACTCACTGACGTACTGACGTATGAGGTAGCCCATGAGCATACACGCCTTATTCATCCGTCACCCCGTCAATGAATCGGTAGCTCCGTCATTCATTGCCATTGGCTAAATCCGTCATTGGCGTCAGTCCGCCAATCATCCAAGTGACGGAGTGGCGAACTCATTGACGGAGTGGCGAACTCATTGACGGAGTGGCGAACTCATTGACGGAGTGACCAACTCATTGACGGAGGGACGAACTCACTGACGTACTGACGTATGAGGTAGCCCTTAGACATACACGCCTTATTCATCCGTCACCCCGTCAATGAATCGGTAGCTCCGTCATTCATTGCCATTGGCTTAATCCGTCATTTGCGTCAGTCCGTCAATCATCCAAGTGACGGAGTGGCGAACTCATTGACGTAGTGGCGAACTCACTGACGGAGTGACGAACTCATTGACGGAGTGACGAACTCACTGACGTACTGACGTATGAGGTAGCCCATGAGCATACACGCCTTATTCATCCGTCACCCCGTCAATGAATCGGTAGCTCCGTCATTCATTGCCATTGGCTAAATCCGTCATTGGCGTCAGTCCGTCAATCATCCAAGTGACGGAGTGGCGAACTCATTGACGGAGTGGCGAACTCATTGACGGAGTGGCGAACTCATTGACGGAGTGACGAACTCATTGACGGAGTGACGAACTCACTGACGTACTGACGTATGAGGTAGCCCTTAGACATACACGCCTTATTCATCCGTCACTCCGTCAATGAATCGGTAGCTCCGTCATTCATTGCCATTGGCTTAATCCGTCATTTGCGTCAGTCCGTCAATCATCCAAGTGACGGAGTGGCGAACTCATTGACGTAGTGGCGAACTCACTGACGGAGTGACGAACTCATTGACGGAGTGACGAACTTACTGACGTATGATGTAGCCCATGAGCATACACGCCTTATTCATCCGTCACCCCGTCAATGAATCGGTAGCTCCGTCATTCATTGCCATTGGCTAAATCCGCCATTGGCGTCAGTCCGTCAATCATCCAAGTGACGGAGTGGCGAACTCATTGACGGAGTGGCGAACTCATTGACGGAGTGACGAACTCATTGACGGAGTGACGAACTCACTGACGTACTGACGTATGAGGTAGCCCTTAGACATACACGCCTTATTCATCCGTCACTCCGTCAATGAATCGGTAGCTCCGTCATTCATTGCCATTGGCTTAATCCGTCATTGACGTCAGTCCGTCAATCATCCAAGTGACGTAGTGGCGAACTCATTGACGGAGTGGCGAACTCATTGACGGAGTGACGAACTCATTGACGGAGTGGCGAACTCATTGACGGAGTGACGAACTCACTGACGTACTGACGTATGAGGTAGCCCTTAGACATACACGACTTATTCATCCGTCACTCCGTCAATGAATCGGTAGCTCCGTCATTCATTGCCATTGGCTTAATCCGTCATTTGCGTCAGTCCGTCAATCATTCAAGTGACGGAGTGGCGAACTCATTGACGTAGTGGCGAACTCAATGACGGAGTGACGAACTCATTGACGGAGTGACGACGTACTGACGTATGAGGAAGCCCTAGATAGGGGAAAACATTTCATCCGTCATTCGTCGATGCTACCTTACAGAATACGAAACACCTGTTGCGGCCAAAAGCATATCATGTTGTTAATCTGTTTTATCCCAGGTTGCTGGATATGTTTTGTTTTTGTTTTCTTTATGTTTTCTCATATTTGTTTACCTTTGTATTTATTGGCATATACAGTTGTCCATAATAAGTTTATTTTCCCTTAAATAATGGTCCATACTGTAAATAATTTTTCATAAGGTCAAGGACAAACGCCATTTTACAAACGAATGAATAACGAACGACTAACGCCAATTGTTTTGCTTTTGTAACGTCCGTGGGTTTTGTCAACAACACAAAACCTGCGGTTTTGTAACATTTATTGTATACGAAGCCGTTGAGTATTAAATTATTGTCTGATGACTCCCGTGGTTATGGATTTCGAACGATTTAACATTTGTATCGAGGAACGCTTTCATATGATGCCATACTTTTCAAGCCAACCATGCCCACGTATTTTTCCTTCCACACCATGGTTGTGGCCGTCATATAAGTTTTGTGTTGCAAAGACACTTCGTGTGGAAGAAACTGTAACGGATTTGTGTTAAACGATAAGCTGTGTACTGTACCGTAAGACATTTAGACAAGCTGTGTCCTGTATCGTATGACATTTAGTATTGGATTTTCTACCGTTCACAAGGATCGTACTCATAGGCCTACTGACATTCATTTATTACAATGTGGTTCAATGATAGTGATAGAGCATCAGTCTCCTCAACTGAAAGTTATCACTCACAGAGAAGTTACAGATCAAATTACAGTGGTCTCTCAGGTCAACACCGTTCACCGCCAGTCCTATCTCCTCAAGTTTCTTTACATTCTTCAAGAAACAGACTTCATCAAGAAAAAAGAGAGCCAAGTTTAAACTCACTGATATATAGAAGAGGGGCGGATTACCCTGTGCATCAAGAGCCTTTACCCCCACTACCAATGTCACAGGTTCCGGTTTATCAAACACCCTATGTGGTACCGCCAGTGTCAGTGCCTTTGACAGTGCCTCCTTATGTAAATGACTATAATGACTTAATACGCAATCAAAATAAACTCAGTACAATTCTGGTTGAACAGCATCAAAGATCTTTATTACCTCAACCTGAGATAGATAAGTTTAACGGAGAAGCTTTGGACTTTCAATCATTTATGCGTGCATTTGAAAACCGAATAGAACGTCACATATCTGATCCTACAGATAAACTTTATTACTTAGACCAGCTGACTACAGGTGAACCGAATGAACTTGTGCGCAGTTATCTTCATATGAAACCATCTGAAGGGTTTATCAAGGCAAAGGAAGAATTAATATATAAATTTGGTGATGAATATAAGATTGCCAAGGCTCACCTGAAAAAACTATTGAAAACAACTCCTATAAAGTATGATAACCCAACTCAGATGAACAAATTTGCTGTTGCTTTAAAAAGTAGTCTGAATGCTATGGTGGACATTGGTTATCTCGATGAATTAAATCACCCCAAGAATATGGTGGAATTAATGGATTTATTACCATTTTCTACAAAAGAACGCTGGAGACGAAAAACTGCCACCATCAAGAGGTTTGAGCACAGAATAGCAGATTTTAAGGACTTTGTAAACTTTGTTGAAGGAGAAGCCGATATGCTTAATGATCCTGTTTTTGGCAAGAAACAAGACAGTGAAAAAGTCCCTACCACAAGTAACACATCGAAACATTCGACACAGACCGTCAAACAGAAAAGTTTTTTAACCTCTACAGCTGAGAAAATAACCTGTATATTTTGCTCTGAATCTCATGATCTGGAAAACTGTAAAGACTTCAAGAAGATACCAGTTGAAGAACGTAGAAATTTTGCAAAAACTAAATTCCTTTGTTATGGTTGTTTGGAGACAAATCATGAGTCAAGAAACTGTCCCAAAAAGAAAACTTGTTCGATTTGTCAGAAGCCTCACCCAACGGTATTCCATATT